GTGTGCCCTAATGACTGCTCGGAATGCGCTTTTGATTAGCAACTGGTGCAATACTGAACAGGCTGGATCTCAAAAATCGGTATTTCTTGTGCTATCAAGGAACATTAACACAAGGCAAATATACACAGTGGATGTTTAGAATCAGAAGTTTCTATTTCAGGATCGTATCAAAGTATCGTTGGTTCGTTTTGCTGCTGTGGGCACACTTCAGTTTGGATTCGGGGAGCAGAAAACCCGAGGTGATGTGCTGTATGAACTCGATCGAGTTGAGAATACGGGTGGATCGACATCGCTTGTGAAGGCAGCCAATGAAGCAATCAAAGAGATCAACAAAAATCATCGTGCGAATGCACGTTTAGTGGTTGTGTTCGTAACCGACGGTAATAGTCAAGATCCATGGCGTAGCGTTCAGGTGAATCTTCCATCTATCTGATTTCCTTTTTCGTGAATGGTCCCTTGGATATCTTCCATTCGACTTCGTGTTCCGAGCTCAGTAGCCATGCCAATGAATTTTGAAATCGCTCTCGCAGCTCTCTCAGTCGATTGAATGAGGTTTTAGAGAGATTCGCGATCCGAAATGGTTGGAATTGAAAATTATCACGGGGTGTTCCATTCACAGTATGTTTGACCATTGATCTAACCAGGAGTACCTTTGATAGATCCCACTCCCTGCCTGCTCGCTCTGGCTACCTCTATATGCCTAGTTGGTACGGGGGCTTGGGAAATGAAATCGAACTTGTTCAGAAGAAGTTTCTAAGCAGTCGTAGCAAACAACCACTGTTGTCAATTGCANATGTGTATATTGACGACCGTGCGAACAAATTCATTCAGGTGTGAATATGTAAAATTAGAAACAAACCCAAGATAGAAACTGTTTCCCTTCAGTTGTTATTGCCCTACTTACTTTGTACTGACGATGAAAATTAGGATATCCGAATGATTCTATCAATCGACTGGTTGCTTTCAGGAAGTCGGAACGTCTGTGGTGACATGCGTTGGTGATAAAGCAAATAAGGCGATACCTTCAGCGAATCAACAACTCGAAGCTCCTCCACCTTCCTCTTCACCGTAAGTATCGCTCGTTCGTAACCGACTCTTACATGAGCGACAATTGCTCAATTGGAAATCCCTCGCTGAATTCTAAAGACTTGAATAGTCTCAAATGATTGATTGTGAACACATTCACACAAAGATTTCACACGGTCACCTTTTCTCAATCAGATTTTCAGCTCTTCTTCAATGTGGCTAAAACATCTGTAAGTGTCGGTAGCAGTAAGTAGTTTAAATTTGATCATTTTCAGATCAAAGTCGAAACAATCGAATGATAAATCCAGTGAAAAGTCGGCGGAAAAGCCAAGTGCTGCAGTCGAAGGTGGAACGAAAATGGATTCGAAAGAGTCTGTGATTCAGACTTTCGATCGAGGCAATTTCGCAAGAGATGAAATGCCAGTGCAAAAGCCAAGCGATTCGTTAAGGCCAGATGCCAAGAAGTATTGATCCACTGAAATTTATCATTCTTATCATTCCAACAATAGCCAGATTACACGCCACAAGTTCCGTAAAGAACACTGCTGTCACCTCATAAGCTTCAATCTACTGAGGAAATGAATCAATTCATTCTGTGATTCGGCGGGATTCAACGAATGCAAACATAATCGAGGCTTTCCTTTAGCCCTCCTCTTAGTATAGTCTTAG